AGCAGGGTTGGTTCCTTTTGGAGGGCTCAGAGGAGAGTCTGTGCTATTCCTCTTTCCTAGTTTCTGTTAGTTTCCACAATTCTTGGTATTCCTGGCTTGTAGATGCATCACTCCAGTTTGTACCTCTGTCGTCACATGGCCTTCTTCCCTGAGAGTCTGTATCTCCTCTTCTTATTCGAACACAGCCATATTGCATTAGGGCCCACCCTAATGACCTTGTCTTAACGTGATGACATCAGCAATGACCCTGTTTCCAAATAAGGTTGCCTTCACAGGTATTGGGGGTTAGGACTTCAACATATCTTTTTTGGGGACATAATTCAACTCATGTTGTAGTTGTTGTTAGGTGCCCTCGAATGGGATCCAACTTATAGCGACCCTATAAGACAAAGTCGAACTGCCCCATAGGGTTTCCAGGGAGTGACTGGTGGATTTGAACTGCCGACTTTTTGGTTAACAGCTGAGCTTTTAACCACTATGCCACCAGGACTCCTAATTCAGCCCATAATAGGTACTAAATAAATGTTTGATGGTGGTTTATTTATTCACATTCATTCACATATTTATCAACAAGCACTTTCTTTGTGCTAAACTCTTTTCAGGGAAGCTGTGAGGGACACAAGAGAAGCAGAGAAAGACATGGTCCACCATGTCCACAAAGAGTCGACAGAGTTTGTGAGGAGAGAATCTATACTCACACACACACATACTCACACGCTGGATAATCAGCGTCCAGGAGAAGGGGCAGTGGATGTTGGCACTGCTGACTTACAGTGGTAATGGCAGGAGATTAGTTTGGTTTGGGGTTGGGAAGGCTGAGAAATCAGACTGTGGCTGCTGCTTCTGTTTTTCTGCCCACCGCTGTGATGGTGCTTTCCCAGTCTAATCTCTTGACTCCCTTCTCTTTTAACCTCTTATGTGACAGAATTCTGTCTTAGGCCTTCTTTTCTTTTCTTCTTACTCTATATGGTCTTTCAGGGTATCATCTATTTCCCTGCTTCAGTGGTCATCTATCTCTGGATGGCTTCTAAATCTGTATCTCCAGAGGAGAGTGTTAGTGTGAATTCCAAACCCTCATGTCTAAATGCCTCCTGAACTTCTCTGATCAGATACTTCAAATATCACTTGTCCCAAACCTAACTCGTTTCCCCTCCACTCTGCTTTCTTCTTTGAGCTCAGTTACTCAGTCAGAAACCTACAAGTCATTCTTGACTCCTCCTTCTCCCTCACTCCTCCAGCATCCCAGTAATCATGATGTGCTTGAAATCGTGGAATTCTAAGAACTCTAAACACCGCTATCACAGACTGCTTTCTCTCCATCTCCAGTTTTTTCTGCTACTGTCAATATTTACTGGGATTATTATAACAACTTTTTATCTAACTGGTCTACCTTTAGTCTTATTCATGCCAATCAGTTCTCCACACTGAACCCAGGGAACTCTTCTTAAACAAACTGAGAAAACCACTTCATCACTTATAACCCTTTAGTATCTCCCATCTGCCCACAGGGTAAACTCCATGCTCCTGATGGTGGCCTCAAAGCCCCTTCATGATCCAAGTACCAACTATCTTCCCAGCCTCGTCTTCAGTCACGTACCTCGATTCAACCTACTGTTTTCCAGCCACAGTGGGTTATTTGCAGCTCTCTGAACACACCATACACTTGCACACCTCTCTGCCTTTGCCCCTGTTGGTCCCTCTGCACGGAGGCCCTTGCCCTTCTCCATCTGCCCACCTCTTCCCTCTACTCTTACTGCCCCTGACACGTGAACAAATAATGCCTGTCTCCCCCTTTTGGTCATGGCCTTCTTGAGAGCAGGGACTGTATTTCTCCCTTTTCTGTATCGCCTGTGTCTAGCACTGAACCTGACCGAACATAATCCTGAAGTAATTTAGTTGAGTTTGGTCATGTGTTCTCCCACAGTTTATGATGTTGTGGGTGATGGGATTCAAAACACACTCCTTTCTTGGTCCTCTCTGGGTTGCCGTAGGGAGTGCTACCCTGATTTCACCAGCCACTGAGAGCTAATCCGCTGCAGGGCATGAATTCTTCTAGGAAACCTCCTCCAAACTGCCAAACACTTCTCCAAATGCTGTTGCTAAGGATTTCAAATAGGTTTGAGGGAGGGGGACCAAGAGAAAGAGTTTTTGCGTGTTCCTTTGAGGCCAACACCTAATCACTGTCCCTCTTCAAATGAAAAATGGGGAAAACACTAGCTAACTGTTGTTTAGTGACCCCAGCCCCCACCCCTTTAAAATAAACACTCTTTTCAATTAGGAAGATTTGTCACCGGGGACAGTAATTCCATGTCCTACCAAAACAAACACAGTTGTAATTAGTTTTATCCAGGAAGAAAATTAACTCTGTTTATCTTAGCATAATTAATCATTGACCCCTTTTCTGTCCGGGTGGCTTGGGGGAGGGCGCAGGAGTAGGGGGTTATGATCTACAGCAAAGGGGCATTCCGAGACCCATCTATCTCTCCTCTTGGTTACACAGCTGTTTGCATGAGTTATTTGAAATAATATTCCTGGCCAAGAGTTATAGAGCTGCCCCAGAGCTAGACTTGGAGAAACACTAAATAAGGCTATGATTTTTATGGTTTCAGTCTGCCGAGAATTTTAGATGAGTACGTATCAGACGGGATTAAGGCATCCTGGGACCTCAAGATTTGCTTGACTTCTGTTATGCCTTTCACCCTGACCCCATGAGTCCTGGGGATGGGGAAGGAGCCACAGGAAAAAGGATTTATTCCTGGTTATCGGGGAGAAGCTAGCGCTGCAGTGAGAAGAGAACAGGCTTTGGAGTTTGATGGATTTGAGTTCCAGGCCTGACTCTGACATCCTCTAGCTGTGTGACCTTGGGGAAGATACCTTATCATTCTGAACCACAGTCACCTCCTAAGTAAAATAAAGAGGGTTGGGGGAGGAGAGAACCAGAATTAATAATCAGTATCTTCAAGAATGTTGTGAGGATTAGTTGTGAGGTGTACCAAGTCCCTAGCACAAGACCTGGTACCAAGTAGTTATTTAATAAGCATTGGTGGGTTTTGTTATTCTTGCATGAATTGACTTGAGGGTCCAGGGTGGAAAGACACACTGAAGGTCTTCTCTCTTTATTTTAATAGTCCCCACAACTCATGGAGACCCTACTGTGTGCTGGACTCTGCATTAGACCTTATGAAGAAAAAGAGGGATTAATCATGACCCCTGTCTTTATGGAGCTCCCAGCCTACTGAGGAGAGAGAGAGACATATCCAGATATTCTCACTATGTTACAACAAATGCTAAGTTGGACATGTGGGAATGAGATTCTTTGGTCAAGATGCAAGCGGAGGTGGGAGGGAGTTTTATTTCACATGTGCTGGACAATCAGGTGGATGTATGATACCTCACTTAATCTGCATGATAACTTTAAAAATAGGTACAAGGGAGGGGGTCTGGCGACAGGGTCATTGAGGCACACAGGCGTTCAGTCATTACACCCAACTGCATAGCTAGAAAACAGAGCAGCTGGAAGGTGAACCGGTTTGTGTGAGGCTGAAGCTTGTGCTTTGTCAGTTTTATCTCGGAGGTCCTGATGAGCTTCACTGGCTCGTCTCCTACACCAAGACCCCAAGTTAGGGGACAGTAGAGCAGCGCCATCCTCACGGTCAATGTCAGGTGTCCCCAAAGTTAAAATTGCACCTCCTTAAGCCTCATTTCATGCTCTTCTGAATTAAAATCTCTTGTAGGGGGATACTCTTAAACAACTATCTAAGGTGATTCTGATCTTCTCACCATCTGTTAGAGTCATAAAAATCGACCTTTTGCTTGTGACGTGGAGATGGCTACTCAGAGTCAAGCACCTGAGGTGAGGGCGAGGGGAGGTCGTCCTCTCGGTACAGGGAAAGGAGAACTGTGACACCAAGGCGCCCACGCCCTGAGATAAGAGGGATGGAGACGGGAGGTGAGATGGGCCAGGGCCCCTTGAGCGTGGCCTAATGAGCTTACACCGGGATGAGGGGGTCCTGCTGCCCAAGGCAGAGAGGTGGATGAGTGCCTGCTTTGAGCACTAACCAGACCAGTTCCCACTCATGGTGACCCTAAATGTGCAGAGTAGAACTGCTCCATAGTGTTTTCAAGACTGACCTTTCAGAAGCAGATGGCCAGGCCTTTTTTCAGAGGCACCTCTGGTGGGTTTGAACTGTCAACCTTTCAGTAAGTAGTTGAGTGCTTAACCATTTGTGTCACTCAGGGACCTTTGAGCACTAGGCCACTCCCTCTGGGGAGCCAGTCCTGGAAGAATGAGCTTTAGGAGCAGTGGAGAGCGCCGGCAGTCTCTTACTGAGTAGGAGAGAGCGTCAGGCTGAGAGGCAGCGCCTCTACCCACTGCAGAGGAGGAGCAAAACCGTCTTTATGGGTGCGAGATGTGGGGCTTTTGTTCTTCCGGTGCTAGCAGGGAACATGGCAGAGTCGCTTAGTAGTGCTGCAAAGGACTCTGCTGAAGGGAGCAAGTGCGGACTCGGAGGACACTAAGGATCTGTTTTCTGGGCCATGGGGGTGCCTGGCCCGGTGGACACCCAAAAGCAGGGAACCCCACACATCCTGAGAAGCACCATAAGCTGACAAGTCAGACAAAATTGTGTTCTGTATCCCACCTCTGCCAGTGACAAGCTGGGCAAATTTGGAAAACGTCCTTCCCTTCTCAGTACCTCAGTTTCCTTATCTATAAAATAAGGATAACAATCTGTCTTGTAAGACTTTTGTAAGGATTAGATAACTACCTTATATTCGTTATTTCATTTAGTCTTCACAACAATCTTTGAAATAAGGATAAATTATTCTCGATTTTACAGTTGAGTGAAAGTAAGGAAGTTCAGGTGACTTGCCCAATGTTATGCAGCTTTTCAGTGGCAGAGTCAAGATTTAAGCCCAGATCTATTTGATTCTAGAAACTTTGCTTTTGACCATTCCTCATAACACCTCTTTTCTAGGAATGAATGAGTTAATAAATTTGCTTACAAATAGTCATCCAGCCTCTGAGGTTTTTCTGACTGACAGCTATAATTGCCTCCTCTTGAAACTGGGTTTAACTCTTCCCACGGCTCTTCCCACTCTAGCACACGGCTGCCAGCCTGGCTGCGACATTTGCTTTCGTCATACTGGGGGACTCTAATTCTGACGGTGCTGGAGGCTGTGCGGCACAGAGGTTTTGAGCCAAAGCTCTGGAGTTGGGCAAGCCTGGGTTACAATCCTGTTCAGGGAAACCTTGGACTAAAGAACTGCCAGTGAGGCAGATACTGTCTGATAAGGGGGCCCCCAGGAGCCCAGGTTTCTTGGGGACTTATGAGAAGGAGCTTGAAGAGCTTGAAACTTTCCGAAAAATTGCCTTGTACTCTCTCCAAGAGGCTGCAGCCAAGAGATAAGAGGCCACGTCACTGGAGGCCACAATGGAGTCTGAGCTTTGTGGGAAAGGAAGGGTGGAGGGTCTCACAGAAATGTTTTAACAATTTAAAATCTTCTAGTTAGAAACTTTTTATGCAGGATTTAATCAGCAGGAAATCCATACAAGGCTCAATTTTTTTCATTGCTGCTCTAAGCAGTAGCCTGAATCCACACCCGGGTGGCTCTATTCAGGTCAGCAAACATTTATTGAGAACGTACTGGGTGCCAGGCCCTTTACTGGGGACACAGGGATGAGACAGGGACAATCCCTGGACTTAAAGAGATTTTTCTCTCTCTGGAGCTAGGCAGTAAGGCAGTGGGAAAGAGTGTGTGTGTGTGTACTTGCATGAGCATGTGTGTGTGTGTATGTGTGCATGCGTGCGTGTGTGTGTATGTGTGCATGCATGCATGTGAGTGTGAGTGTGTGTGTGTGTGAGTGTGTGTGTGTGAGTGTGTGTGAGTGTGTGTGTGTGTGTGTGAGTTGGGAAGAAGATAAGCGAAAAGAGGAAGGAAGGAGGGAAGGGATGTGTACATCAGCATGAAAGGCTTGTTCTCACTTATATCCCTGGGAGGGATCAGTCACTCCATCTACTGGTCAAAACCAATTCTGGGGGTGCCAGGCTGAGAGTGGGAAAGTGACTTTTAGTTTGGGAACTGGTTTGCATTTGCCAGGAAAAAATCCAATAGTAGTATCTTTTAATAACTGATTTTTGAGGTTGAGAGAGCTAAGCTCTATCTGTGTGTATTGGATAACAGAAACCAATCTGTGTGTTGCGAGCAGGGGTAGGGGAGAGGGAAATGGGACAGTAGGGGCGGGCTCCTCTGGTGGAATTGGTCTCATTTTCTGCCCCAATCCCCAACTATAAATATCTAGTCTTAGGGACCTCAATCTCTTGTACCATGTATGCGAAAACAATACGGAACTGGAGGTGGCCTCAAGGTTAATGGAAATAACAGGCTAACCTATTTTGCTCCCAGGTTTGTACAGTCTCAGGCAGCAGTGACAAGGGTACAGTATTCAGATTATGGCATATGAGGGTCCCCCTTGCCCTCAGCCCTGGTCAGACCACATTGAACACATATCTTCAGGCATGGGAACCAAAAACTGAGGGAGAATTTGCTAAAACGGAGAGGATTGGTAGTTGGTTGAAACTGAAGGAGAGAGGACTCAGGGAGATGTAGCTTTGACTCCAAATCTCTGAAGGCCAAAGGCAGAAGCAATGGTGGGGAGCCAAGTTTTAGCTCAGAAGGGGGAAAGGTTTTCTGACAATGGGCTGCTTTGTGAGGCAGTGAGTCATAAACCTGGGAGTGTTCCGCAGAGGCCTGAGGACTGCTAGTCAGCAGGGCTGGGCAGTCAGGGAGGGCTTGGGGAAGGGGCAGGTGATGACCCTGGAGCTCGGCTTGGGCTGCTGTCTCAGATTCTCCGATTGGGGAACTATCTGGTGGAAGCGTTGATGAAGAACAGCGCCGTGCGAGGTAGCGCTTTGCTCATCAGTGGAGGAATGTAGAGTTTGCAGTTTAAACTTTATAGGACAGCCTTACAGGAGAGGCTGCAGAATGAATTCCTACCCACACATACTCCGCGACTCAGGCTTTCCCTGCGTTATTTGGTTTATTAGGAAAAGGAAAGGGAATAGGATGAGGGTGAAGGAAAGAGGGGAGGGGAGGAAGGAGAGGAGGTGTTGGATAATGGAATCCACCATTTATTGAGCACTTAGTTCCAGGCACACTTCCATACTTGGCCCCATTTAATCCTCACACAACTTTCTGGGGTAAGTACTACTGTTAGCTCGGTTTTACTATAGTCTGAGCTGAACTATCAGTCAGTAAGGCCCCGGGCATGCCTGGTTACAAAGCCTGCTCTATCCAGGTGGGCAGCCTAGCATCTGACGCCTGCAAGGTTGCTCAGAGGTGATTTGTTAAAGCCTTCACCACTGCCCTGGAGGGCTTGCTTGCTGCAGCCCGCTGCCCTCTGCCAGTCCAACCTGTGGGTTTGTACAAAAAAGAGTGGGACGCTGGGCGCCCTCTCGTGGTTAGATTTGTCAGAAGATGCTGCTTGGAGGAGACCATGACTTTTAGGAATTCTTAAGAAAATCACTGCAATGGAAAAGGCTTGGCAGACCTAAGAGGTTGGCGGATATTCCAGAATAGGGTCTTCTGGCACACAGTAGGTGTTCAATACAAGTTTGATGAATTATTGAGTGAGGTAGAGACGTGGAGGCAGGGGTGGGCCTTCAGGTGAAGAGGGAACTAGTGCTCAGAGGTTCTACAGCATTGCAGCCAGGTAGGCAGAGCACTGCCTGGGGCAGAACCCAGGGTTCTAGACCCGGCTCTACCAGTCACCCCTGGGAATTCTGTGCAAGTTACCCTTCACTGAAGGGGCCTCAAGGCTCCTGCCTGTGAAATCATGGGGTTGATTTATATCAGTTGTGCTCATTCTAAGCTGCACTTGTTAACCACCTGGGGAGTTTTTAAAAATCCTGATAACTGGGCCCCAGCCCCCGAGATCCTGATTTAAATCGTCCGAGGTGGGGCCTGTGCACTGCTGTTTTTCAAACATTTCCCAGGTGGCTCCAGTGTACTGCTATGGCTGGGAAAGGCTTGGGTTATATTTCTGAGCCCTTAAAGTTCCCATTGGCTGTGATTCAGAGATTGTTTTCCAGGCATTTCACTAAATTTAATTTGTATCCTGTGGTAGTAGATAATGTTATTTCACCATTAAAACAATGGGCTGAGATTTCTCACCAATAAACCTAAAGATAGATCTCTATGTTTGTATCCTAAGGTGACCCCAATAATAGACAATGGGAATATGATTTATCCCCCATGCCTCTAATGTAATTAAGGGTACACTGTAAAGAAAGCTGTGCTATTGAAATGTAAATTAGTAATGGCAGTTTACCTTAGAATTGCCATTTTGTTAAGGTTACTATTGTGTTGTCTCAGTACTTAAAAGTGCATTATTCATGTAGCAAACATGGGAAGCCCACTGGGAGAGAAAGGGCAACACACTCAAGAGAGGATTTGAGGCCTCTGGACTTCGTCACACTCACAGGAACTATTGCTTCATTCCCTTCTCTGTTTGTTCTCCCTGCATTCTACAGTGACCTGTGGAAGAAATATAACACTGATGGAAGCTGGTGGGGAGAAGGAAAAACAATCTGTAGCTGCTCTTCGGATTTGCCACTTAGAGCTACTTGTTCTTATTAGAAATATTGGAAGGGCAAGCATTATTTTGGGGCATTTCTTTAACATCTCCCTGCTGGGGAAAGCAATGCGCGGAAAGGAGGAAGTATGTGAAGAGCATGTTAGAATGCCCAGCTGTGTCTGTGCCTGGCAGCCGTGCCTGGCCACCCTGTCTCGCAGCTTGTTCTGGCAGGAGGCTGGCTCACCACTGAGCAAGCATTCACCAAGAGGCTGCTAACTGGGCCCAGATGAGGCTGCTTCCAGATGACATAGGCTCTGGCTTGGATTAGCAAGAAACCACGTGGAACAATAATATCAGTAACAAGAACCACTATTGATTGAGTGCTACTATATACCAGATGCAATGCTGTATATGTATAGCTTGAATGACCTCCTTCACCAGCTCAAGGTATTAGAGAAAGGCCACTTTGCTTCTACTTCTTATTTAATTGTTGGAGACCTACCTGCCCATAATATTTATCTACCTTGAGTTTTCCGAGAACATTGTGTGCTAAAGAGAGTTTAGTGATGCTTCCAAATATACTCAATCTGTTAGAAAGATTCTAATCTGTGGACAGTCAGAAGGGAAGAGATTGGCTTTGGGATTCCTCTTAGAGATTCTTTGACCTCTTACAAATTTAGCTGCTTCTCCCAAGTGGCCAGATCCTGAAAGGTTTTGTGAAGGACCACCTTTGTACACTTCAAAAAACCCTGTTACACCTATTTGAAAGATTAGTCCAAAGGACTAATGGACCATAACTACCATGGCCTCCACCAGACTGAGACCAGTGCGACTACATGGTGCCCAGCTACCACCACTGACTGCTCTGACCGGGATCACAACAGAGGGTCCCAGACAGAGCTGGAGAAAAACATAGAACAAAATTCTAACTCACAAAGGAGACCAGACTTACTGGCCTGACAGAGACTAGAGAAACCCCTAGAATATGGCCCCTGGACACCCTTTTACCTCAGTAATGAAGTCACTCCCGAGGTTCACCCTGCAGCCAAAGATTAGATAGGCCCATAAAACAAAATGAGACTAATGGGGCACAACAGCCCAGGACAAGCACTAAAAGTCAGGAGGGGACAGGAAAGCTGGTAATAGGGAACCCAAGGTCGAGAAGGGAGAGTGTTGACATGTTGTGGAATTGTTAACCAATGTCTTAAAACAATGTGTACTAACTTCATCTAAAGTACAAAAAAAAAACAAACAAACAAACCCTGTTACACTTATTTCACATCTCACCGTGTACCTTCTTGGCCTTTTATTGCAATAACTAAAAGCTGCAACTCAAGTGTTCAGAGAAAAATCAAAGAAGATTTACTGCAAGGTGAGAAAACTTACGATGTTTGTCAGATAGAGGCCTCTAGCAGCCTACCGTATATACACATACATAAATTTATCTTTACAACAATTTTGCAAGGTAGGAAAGTTAATTTCACAGTTATGATTTTTATTATTATCATAATATAGTAAAAACTAACATTTTCTTAGCATCTTGTTTGCTCTAGGCATTGCTAATCCTTACCATAAGACCAGGTCCCTGTGGCACAAATGGT